AGCCTCAAGACATGGCCTGGGTCGACCTGCACAGCGCGGCAGCCCGCGGCGACCTCGACCAGCTGTGGCGGCACTGGTGGCTGAAGAAATTCCTTATCAACAGCCGCAATAAGGACAATCTCGCAATCGAGATCTGCCCATCCCCTCCCCGCCTGGGACTTGGTAGATTCTGCCGGGCATCTTTTGTGTCTGATGAACCCAGGCCGAGGCTGCTAAGCCTCAAGACATGGCCTGGGTCGACCTGCACAGCGCGACCCCCTGCAGCGACCTCGACCAGCTGTGATGGCACTGGTGGTTGAAGAAATTCCTTATCAACAGCCGCAATAAGGACAATCTTGCAATCGAGATCTGCCCATCCCCTCCCCGCCTGGGACTTGGTAGATTCTGCCGGGCATCTTTTGTGTCTGATGAACCCAGGCCGAGGCTGCTGAGCCTCAAGACATGGCCTGGATCGACCTGCACAGCGCGACCCCCTGCAGCGACCTCGACCAGCTGTGGCGGCCCTTGTTTCCAGGCAGTACAGCACCAGCAGAGAGACTGTGCAGCTATTCTGCTGGAGCATGGTGCCAACCATGACCACACAGCTGCTGCTGGCAACACAGCCCTTCACTTTGCTGCCCTGGTGTGTAACAAATCTCTAGTGGAGTTGTTACTTGAGCACGGTGCCGATATCAATGCAAAGAATCACTATCCAGTGGTCTTTGTGGGTCCCTTCCACCTCAGCAGATTCTGTGATTCTATGATTCTGTGATGTGTTTATTGCCATAAACACTGTCTACATTGTATTTGATTAGTGAAGTTTTTCCAAAGGCAAACGTTTTTATTATGGCTTAAGAGTTAAGAGGAGAGGTTTGGAAGAACCAAACATATTATGCTCTATTTTTTATGTGCTAGGGGCTTTTACAACTGTTTTCCCCATTGCCTTTCTTCCTGATTGCTTCTTTGTCTTGGTGAGAAGTGGCAGAAAGTGGCAAACAGGCCAGTGCTGTGGATATTTACAGTAATGTCTGATAGCTACAAAGCGATATATTCATGGAAGGGAAAAATGACATTTCCACCACGTACAGGGGTCATATAGAGGCCTTTGAAAGCTGTACTGAAAATATTACATGACAGACAGCTGGTGTATCTGAGTTAATACTAGAGTACCTTGCCCAGGCTTGCCAGCAAAAGGGGAAAAGTGACTTAAGTGACTGTGTGACTGCCAAGTCACCTGCAGGTTTTTGTTAATTTTGATTGCTCACTGGAACAGGGTCCCCAAAATACAAAACCTGAGAGAATTCGAGATGCATTTGGATGAGACTCTCAGGCACATGGTGTGACTTGGGGATGGTCCTGTGCAGGGTTAAAAGTTGGACTCAATGGTCTTTGTGGGTCCCTTCCACCTCAGCAGATTCTATGATTCTGTGATGTGTTTATTGCCATAAACACTGTCTACATTGTATTTGATTGGTGAAGTTTTTCTAAAGGCAAACATGCTTTTATTATGGCCTAAGAGTTAAGAGGCGAGGTATGGAAGAACCAAAACATATTATGTTGTGCCTTTCATCTGCTAGGGAATTTTTCATCTGTTTTCCCCATTGCCTTTCTTCCTGATTGCTTCTTTGTCTTGGTGAGAAGTGGCAGAAAGTGGCAAACAGGCCAGTGCTGTGGATGTTTACAGTAATGTCTGATAGCTACAAAGCGATATATTCATGGAAGGGAAAAATGACATTTCCACCACGTACAGGGGTCATATAGAGGCACTGACTACCTTAGGAATGGGTATTTCAAAGAACCCAAGGGACACAGATGGGCTTTCAAAATAGCTGCTGTGGAGACAGGGGCGGCTAAGCAGTTGAATTCACTACCTGGCCTCTCGGACAACCCTTCTGCTGTGGGACTGTTGAAGGCTGAGGAACGACGAGTGCCAATTGCCACTATGATAGTGCACCGTCGGCCGTATCGA